TTTTCATTATTTAATATATATCTTTTTATTTAGAATAATTAGTTTTACCAATTAAGTGAATAAAATTTTGAAGTAACTAGTGACATATACGAGTAGTTATTTGTTAGGCCTACTTTGTGGAGAGAGTTAGACACACAAAAATAGGAATGAAAAAATAAAAAAAATTGAGCGGACGTAGAAATCTTTTTATCACTTTTGATGGGTATGGATCTAATTTCTTTTTTTTATGTGTCTATCTCTTTTCTCAAAGTAGATCCGAGAGAGTAACTACTGTACATGTCATTAATTACTCATTGTGTTTTATAAAATTTTTCGATCGAGCATCCGGTGTGGCATGCCACCACGTGGATTGACCATGTGGTCTCGGTTAATCTTGAGTATTTTTTTAAAACATGATACTTCTAAAATTTATTTACAAAAATAAGATTGTTTTAATCTTATTTATCAAAATAAGGTAGTTTTTACCATATAGATTAAATCTCTTATACATGTTAGTTTTTTTTAATGCTAATAATGAGTCATTTAACATATCAGTTTTATTTTTTTTGTCTAAAAAATTTATGCTAAGATGGGTACAATCGAAAAGGATAATTGGGATGACGAATGCTCTGTCGATGGGTACAATCGGAAAGGATAATTGGAATGATGAATGCTCTGTCGTTGGGGACAAGGGTGAGAATGTGTCTGCAACTACATCATCCCAGTTATCCTTTCCAATTGTACCTATCTTAGCATAATTTGTTTTTAAAAAAAATTAATATGTTAACTGACTTATTATTAGCATTAAAAAAAACTGATATGTATAATAAATTTAATCTATGTGATAAAAAATATCTTTTTTTGATAAATAGGATTAAAATAATTTTATTTTTGTAAATAAGTCTCAGAAGTAACTTGTTTTTTTAAAAAAAAAACTCGGTTAATCTTATTCTTGACTCCCCTGCCAAAGAGATAAACAATACATGCATTTAATGTGATATGTGGCTTCCTCAGAACTGATCCAGACGTCATTCCCTCAAAGGACAAAGTCCACAATAGCAGCCCAATGGTCGGTCTTCTGGGCACTTGTCCACATGTTGTCCAAAACGATAGGAAGCATGCACATTGTCCAAAGTGCCCTTATCTCGCAATAGATTCACGTGAGCATTAAGCTTTATAAAAGCCGTCTTATCTTCTCATCTTTATCTGCAAAGACGCACCCTCGTAGTAAAACTAGCAGGTGCAGCAGTAAAAATAGCTGCGATTGCAGTTCGCTGGGATAGTATAATAACAATCACAATTTTAATTATTTTATTAATTAAATATAATAATAACATCTATAATAATTTAATCTTATAAAATAAAAAATTAATAATATTTTAAATAATTTTCTATTATATAAAAATAATAAAATATATTACAACTTTAAGATATAAAATTTCACATTAATAGCATCAGTGTATAATAGATTCAAATTAAAAATAAACAAATATATATATATATATATGATACTATTAAATTCACTAATCAAATTATTATTTTCATTATTTTTTTCAGATAATTATCAATATATCATTCACCAATTATTAATAATTATTATATAACAAATATTGATAGGAAAAAATGATGAGAATAATAATTTAGTTAGTTAGTGATCTCAGGGATAAAAATTTTATGACTATAATAATTATAATAATAGATAAGTCAGATTGTATTAAATAATGGCTGTTATGTATTTGAAACTATACAAACACCAAAATAGCCATTTAATAATAATAAATAAATAAATAAATAAAAGTGTTTTCGGAGATTTTTCTTGTTTTAAAGGTTTGACAACCCTCCTATGGTAACCCTTACAGCAAGACAGTCCAACTCAGCTAAGAAGTAAGTGGTGGTCAGTAAGGATTTTACACAAACCTCGTCACATTATCTTCCCTTTTGATCCATTTCAATGGCATATTTGGTCTCGAGTACAATTGCCATTGAAGATTGCTACGAGGAAGTGTTTTCTCCTCTCAATATTTTTTCCATGTTCTTGAGAAATTAATGCTTTAATCCAAGAATCAACTGCTTTCCTTCTCCATCACTTGCTATCAAACTAAATCAATATCAACCAACCAACCATATAAATTTGGAATTTTACTTATTAAGAGGAAAACTGAAAACAAAATTAAAAGAGAAATCCATATCAATAGCAAATTGTAGACCGTAAGAAATAGCAAGAGCTTCGTTTATTTCCATGAAGAATCATACCTTCAGCCCTTTGTTGACGGAAAACATAATTTGCCCTGTAGAATTTCCGACAATAATACCAAAGCTACTAATATTGTTGTTAAGAAGAACATCCATGTTGATTTTAATTACATCACCAAGTAGAGGAATCCACCAAATTGTCTCTTGAATCAACTAAACATACTAATTTGGATGCTACATATGTTACTGAAAATGAAAACTTAAAACCATTAAAATTAAAAGAGACAAGTAATATGAACAACCAAACCCACCCTGCAGTGCCTTCTCCTCAACACAACCCTACCTATGATGAGAAAGGCACTCAAGACTGGGTCACAAGTTGGTCCTAAATTTTCTAAGTAACAAAATTCCGAGGCAACTTTTGAATTCATTAATTTAGGATCTGTATTTGGGTTTCACCAAGATCATTGAAATTTAGGTGCCCATAACCCAATCGAGGTGCCACTGTTTTACCAGAGTATTATTGCTCAATTGCGAAGAAAATTACGGCAACATGGATGGATACTTCTAGCAAAACCAACATTTATATTTTTTTCTTTTTGCTATAGATAGGATTCTGCAACTGACATTAATTGTTAAACATTAATTGTACTGAAACAACTAGCATCCCAGTTTACTATGAGATAGTATATAATACATTTAATTGGACCGTTAATTCATGTGGTATGATTTTTTAATATCAAGAGGACGATGGATGTGGAAAGACAGAAATATATACAAGCAACCAACATGTTCTACCACATGGCATGTTTCAACTGTGATCTAATTATATCTTCTTTTCCTTCATTCTTCCTCTTTTCCTTTTTTTTTTTTTTTTCGAACCTTGTTTTTTTTCCCCTTGTGACAAATTGCTTTGCGTGCCTGTAAGGGTAAAAAGTTCATCACGACAAAAGAGGGAAAAAAAAAGAAGAAGAAGATAGCAATCGATTAATGCATTCTGTGCTCATATATTAATATGGGAGTTAGTACATATGGGAAAATTTATTCATTTTTTTTTTTAAATGTAGTAGATCAATGCTATCATCAAGTGAATTAAATTATTCAATCGGACTTGACTAATTCTTTGCTTGAATGAATAAATAAGTTTTTGTTAGATGCTGACATTTGCAAAGTATGTTTAACTCTATTGATTTTTTAATTATATTTTTAAATTTCATTTCATTCAGCTATATTCTTCGTTAATGAAGAATACAATAGCAGACTTCTCAGTCAAGAGCTGTCTCTATAGAGATAATAAATAAATTGTATGGCTATAGTTTTATTTTCTTCTAAATTTTTGTATTTATTTATAAATTTCAATTCTGTAATCTTATCAACTGTCAGCTGACTTGTCTTCTTATTAATTTGATTTCGATTTTTATTGAAAAAACTCACAATATGTAAGAATTTAATTTTAATTGACATATGAACTATTTAAAAGTACCCTTGAACGTGGAATTAAAAAACATTGAATTCACTTAAGTATGTGATAAGAAACATTACATTTGGATATAATTTAACTCCCTTTTTTTTTTTTTTTTTTTTTGCATCCCATTAGTCATCAAAAGCCAAAAAACACTATAGCAAAGGAGAAATTGAATAAAGTTTTGGAAAGGATAGAACTTGGATCCCATTATATGGAAATGCAATGATTAAATTAAACAAAAGGCAGATTAGTTTACCATATTTAAAACAACACAACAAAAATGATTAAGACACAGAGCTAGTCAGATGGTATTTAAGATAGAAGTGCATATATTTAATAGAGAATCCAAACCAACTTGCAAAAATCTAAACAACTGTCAGGCACATGGAGATGGAGTGGGATCAAAATTGGCTGAAAATGCAGAGAGAAAGAAAAGGTGGTCGAGCGAGGTGAAGCAGAAGACAAGAGGCAGTACAAAGCAGCCTGATACGATAATTGACGTGGGAGGCATGTTTGCTTCTCTATTGATTATTCTTTTGCCAGCCTCAATCTCACAAGAATCTTGGAAAGCCATGTCTAATAGGGATTGCCTTGCCTTGGACAAAGCTTGTCTTTGTAATTGTGTGGCAGAGACTCTGCCTCAAGTCAACATGTAGGGTTATGTTACCATATATATATATATATATAGATACATACACATTAAACCTCAGAGTGGGGTGAAAATTGAAATGGCAAAAAGAATATATGTTTTACTGTTTGTCTCGGAATTATTTTTTGGCCTACCTCTAGGCTCTAGGGTGCACTAAAATCAAGCCTTATTTTATATTTTATTTTCAGCTATCACGCCTCTCTTCTTCAAAAATCATTTGAGCTGAATTTTAATGCTTGTGAATGAACCAGTGCAACGAACAAGAACAAGAACAAGCACAAGCAAGATCAAGGATTGATGCGATAACTGATTTCATCTCTTGCCAAACATGTCCCTTAAGATGCCAACTTGTTTGCGAAACAGCAAAGCACCACCTAAAACCTAATTTAAGGTGTAACATATTACATATTATTGCAAAGTAATAACGCTTGTGAATGAACCAGTGCAACGAACAAGAACAAGCACAGGTAAGATCAAGGATTGATGTGATAATTGATTTCAACTCTTGCCAAACATGTTCCTTAGGATGCCAACTTGTTATGCGAAATATAAAAGCACCACCTAAAACCTAATTAAATTAAGGTGTAACATATTATTGCAAAGTACCTAACATAACAAAAAGGCAATTATCCCATGATACACCAATTAGAAAGTGCGCACATATATACAAATTTTGATCCAGTCAGAATCTAGGAGATGAAGAGGAACATTACATCAATCATCATATGACACATGAAAACTGGTAGTGCATCCAGATGCCTCAGGGTCCTCAGCCCCACAACAATCATAAAATTTGGCAGCATATGGTGGATCATCTGGTCCCAATTCATAGTACCTTCAACCAACCAAAAATACATAAGCGTTAGCTAGCATAAGTTCATCAGCCAAACATGACTTTAGCATTTCTCAACCAAAATGCTATCATATGTTTGAATTCGATTCTTGTTTAAACGAAAAGAAACCACCATATCATTGATGAAACTAAAACAACTAATCACTGCAAAATCTCCTGGTCATATTAGCCACAATCACACTGATCGAACAGTTACCTGAATTACAGTCTAACAAAGCAATCTACTGAACCTAACATTCATTTATGCTTTACTCCAATGAAAATAAAGAAGCGCAAAACAATTTTCTTTTCTTTATTCATCGAAAACTAACCAAAACAACTCTCTTATCACTCATTGTAATTGTGAATGAGACAATTTATAGTAGGCTTCATCAGGTGCTGCATTCAAAATCATATTTTGCATGCAAATATGTGATGCTAATAGCAGCAGTAAAATATAGAGGTAAGAATGAAGCAATAATGGTATGAAAATGATGGATGTACTCTCACAATGACAGACTGTTTGGAGCATTCCAATTAATAAGGGTATTGATTGGCAACTGCAGTGATAAAGGTGATGTTTAAGATTGAGAAGCATACTTTCAAATGCCAGAGAAGGAGATGGCATCACTAGCATAAGAAAAATAATTTACCCTACAAAAACAGCTTTCATATAGAAAGCATTGCTGTCCAATTTCATCTTCATATAGAAAAAGCAAAAACTTTAGAGGGCATCACCAAACACATTTTTCACTTCAAGAAAGGAAATGTAATTAAAATATTTATGGGCTATCAAATGCTATCCAAATTACGCCTCCTATTATAGGCTAGTGACTAGAGTCCTGAATTTGATAATCTATAAAGTTATATCAACATAAATTGTGGAGCTCTAAAGTAATTTCCATTTGATACAAAAGAGTTTCAATTACTCAAAAGCATTTCTAAAAATTTTCACTCATTATTTAAACTTTAGCTTCCACATATCTCCAGACACTGTCTGCAATGCAAGGTTTCTAATAGATTGTACCTTTATAACAACAGGGAAAAGAAAGAGAGGTAAAAAAAATTTGCATGCTCTTTCACGTATTTATCATATAATTTGTAAACAAGATCAATACTAAACCCAAATCTAAGCAATTAAGCAAAAGGCCAAAATATGGATCAATTTGACTAATTCTTTCACTTCATATTTTATCCCAAATATCCTCCAGCTTGAGTGTTCAACATTCTATATGATAAGCTATGAATTAGAAAGCTAGATCAGCATCATAACTACAATAGCAGAAAACCCAGCACAAAAGGCATAAGTTTATTTATTGTGCCTCCTGATGAACAATCTGACAAGCTATAAGCTGTTCTCATCAACCAGATGCAGCAGAAACTATGGGGTATCCAACTTGACCAAAAAATCAACCACTTATTCTAGGATTAAGGCATAGTCAATACTAGGTGGTCCATGCACATGCACACATAACTCAGAACCAAATGATAGAAACAACAAAATTGTTTTACCCCAGAATGTTTTTCCAGCATTCAGTCCGCTGAAACAAATTTAAGAAATGAGAATGAGAAAGAATGATGGACAACGGTGTTTCCTTGTAATTACAGCAAAAGTAAAAGCATTAACAAATCAATTGAAAATTGGACAATTTTTTTTTCAAACGAATATTCAAAATTGGGCAAAAGGGTATGCGAAACTACCACTACAAGGTCCAAACACACTCATGTATACTCTCTATATATAGAGAGGGATGGGAAGAAAAAGAAAGCCAGGAAGGTACCTTTTTTGGTCATCATGACGACGGCAGACAAAAAATGATGGATGGAAACGGCAAGCAGAAGAAGTGTTGGAGGAGGAAGTGAATGTCTGCTTGCACCTCTTGCATACTTTATCCCTCTCCTTCTCCTTCACCTTCTCGTCTTTCTCCATTTTTTTCCTGATCTTCTCGCAAGTCTCAACCCCGACCAGACCACTGATGCTTTCTGCAAACTAAACCACAGATAGACTTAAGCCTGTGGCTCCATGGGCTTCATGTTACAGAATAGACCCATATCCAGGCCTGCTTCTTCTTTTTCATAATCTACGTTATTATTATTATTATTATTATTATTTAATGAGGATAGGTAAATCAGCATATGCGTCTTTTTTTTTTTATATGTAAAACAGTTGAAAATATAATATGATGTAGTTTATTTGTCGTGATTGATAAACGAATAAACATAAGGTTTATTTATTTATTTTGAAAAGACGACATTAGGTTTGCTGTTATAATAATTCCTGTGCTTAAATGATCATTAGCACTAGATTTATTTACAAGAAAACAAAAATATAAAATGGTGAAAGTGCATATTAAAACTACATTATCCAAATAAAATAATACATAAATTCACACACACACATATATATACACACTGTTTTGGAAAGTTTGAATATAATTTATGTAATTTATAATATTTTTTTAGAATATTATAAAAAGTTAGATAAAAATGATAATTTAACCCTATTTGCTTTTAAGCTCACCCCTCTTGCCTTACTCTTAAACTGTCTAATTAAATAATGTTATTTTATTTTATTTATATAGATTATATAGTTAATTAGTAATCTAAAATTTGTAGATGATTTGGATAAAATTGTATTGAAATTGCTTATTGGGATAAATCAAAGAATTATAATGATGACATTTAGAGGTGTTCATTGTTTAGTGAAAACCGAATAATCAGTTTTTTTTTTTTTCAAATTTGAAAAGACTATTCTAAGAGCTAAAGCTATCTGTAATACAAGGAGAAAAAAAAATAACCAACTTAGAAATAGGTCGTCCACTGAAAAAAATATTAATTAGAATAAATATTGACGTCCAAATCAAACAAAAAAACAAATAACCTAGGCATAGTAGGATTTTGAATCTTTTACAAATACTACATAAGAAAAAAAATCCTATACTTTAGAGTTCGTAGAATCTTTTAAAATAATTTTGATCATAAAATCTTTTGAGTCTGAAAACAGTAAGGCACATATGGATCACGCATTGCCAAAACAAATTCTTCAAGCATAGGTTATAATAGCCATCAAATTCTGATGGAACAAATCATGTAGACATATTCATTGTTAGAAATATTTATTTTGAATGTTAATAATGTTCCTCATATTGATTTAGATTCTCTCATGAAAGAATTAAAAAAAAAAACATTTTTACATTTTTTCCAATAAATAAAAAGTTTCAAACCAAGTTCTAGTTTTGACGACGTTGATGATTGATAACCTTCAATTCTCGTACCTTCACAGTTATTTAATTTTTTTATTTTTATTTTTTATTTTTTTCAAAAAAGAGAGATAGAAGAGGGTAAAACATACTCAAACCGATTGATATAAAAAAGAGGTAACTCTTTATTTTGCTTCTGTACTTGGAGCGACCAGCAATTTTCCCCAGTTTCCTTTGTGCTAAATTGCTGGTCAATTTCCCCCATAATTAAAATTAACAGTTATATGTATATCCAGTTAATTGATAATTGCTTTTAATTTTTGTCAATTTTAATGCATCACATGACTGAGGAATTGACTTTCTGCCAAATACACGGAGAAAATTGAATTCAAGTGATGCATAAATACTACCATTATTAATTGGCCTAATTTCAACCACAATTACTGGAGAAATTGATCAAAAATCAAATACTGGGGAAAATTTTTGCTATAAATAAAATGGATAAAGTAATTGATCTCTAGAAAAGAAAAATATTCCAAACTTCAAGGCCAAACAAGGATGGTAGATAAAAATGTTTGATTTTCTTTATCAGAAAAGGTAAAGAGTTACCTCAACTTTTCACCCTAATTTTTCTTTTGGTTAATGCCAGTGCAATAACTAATCTACTGGAAGCACACATCCGTAGAACTGAGAGTACAAAGAAAAATATTTTGTGCGACTCAATGAATCAAATATTCATACAAGCTGAAACATATTTTTGTTTTATTTTGCACGATTACATTATTGATCGATCAACAAACTCTTGAAATGTATATACACCCAAAACATAACACAGTTATTCTCTTCCAAATCTCAAAGTTTCATTCGGTGGAAGAAATTAATTCTTCACAGTTTCCCAACGTTTGATAAATAAAAATATGAGCTCGGATTGATAAATTTCAGATATTGTAACAAAGTGACAAAGGAGCCGAGTTCAGTATCTGCCCACAGATGCAATCCGGAAGCAGATGATGTACACAAGGAGAATCAGACCTGCAGAAAGCTTGCATACTTCGCACCTAGGAAGAGCCTTTGAATACAGAGTAGAGCATTTTTGGTAACTTCAGTATTTTCATGGTTCATCAGTTTCATCACCCTTTCCTTGGCCTTAAGATCTGTGACTATGACACGCCCAGCAGGATGGTACTGGATAAACTGCGAGAGATCAAAGCAAGCAACAGCCAGAGCTCTTGGATCATTGGATGTGTCCAAAATTGTGACGAGGACCCTCAGAATCTGTAGTAGAAGGCATTATAAGCACTACAGTAGTTCCATATTTTGTGAAAAATAATCTGAAACAATAATTACTAAACTGATTGTATTTTGTGTGACGTAGTTGTCATAGTGTTGATGCACATTTTTCCAGCCTTCAAATCCCATGCAACAAAAAGAACTATCATACAATCTATATAGTGCCCTGTTAATTTCCTCCGTTATAACCCAGCATAATGTCAGTCCAGGCAGAGTGACAGTTGAACAGGCAAGGGCATTATTCAGATCCAACATATAATATACAATCCAGGACAAATAGTTGAAAAAACAGTCACACCGTCAATCAATCCCCTTTTTGTCTTACTCTTAAGTACTATGATACCAATTGGTACTTGCATTAGATTGGCCACTTTTCTGCTACCAAGCAAAAATAAGAAATTGATTTAGTATAGAATCATATTCGGGCAAGAAGATTCTGTGTCAGCTACCAGTATATCATCAATCTTACAGTGAACTGAGGAACTAACAATGATGCTACTAGCGGCTCGATCCCAATTAATAATGGAGACCAAAATTTGTATGGTCACTTGGGCCTTGAGAGTGGAGGGGCATGTATAAAATTTTAGAGATCGTCAAGCTGAGGCTCATTAGACCAGATAGCTTGTAAGTAGTATGAAGTTTGAACCCCCAAAATATACAGAATCAATACAAGCACCATCCAGGGATCCTTATTATTTAACAGTTATGGTGGGTTTGTCCTTTTTCTAGCTGAGTCTCAATAACTAGAAAAGAAACCCAAGGATCTAGGATCAAAATGCAAATAGAAATTCAAGTGCAAAATCCAAATATATATCTAAAAGTAAAAAGAAGACAAGGTGATTCTGTCAAGCTAAAGCACTGATTTGGTCATAGTCTATTATTCAATTTTTTTTTTTAAAAAAATGTACGGAAAAAACAGCAAGCGTAATGATCAAAGACCAGGGGCTACCTCAAGCCTCAGTGAAAGATAATAATTTTAGATCTTGTAAGTTGTACCCTTCCAAGTTTGAATGGTTTACAAAGAGAACACATGCAATCTTCATACACTTTTCAATAGACTAATGAGGAGGAGATCAAACACTTTCTTTGTATCTTTATGCTTGCTAATTCCACTCTTGGGTATTACCAATTTATTTGAGAGAATGGAGAGGACATGCTACATGGGTTATTAGCTACCCTCGGAATTGCTAGGCTATAGACTCATATACTGTAATCATGACGCCATTTTACATATTTTCTTTTCTTTAATATGGTGCAATGGAATAAAATGGAATGAAAAACATACACAAGAAGGAATGGAACTATTCCATACACTTTGGTTCTTGCAAGAATAATGGTAATGCAACAGAATTTTTTTTATTTGATACAATAAATTAAATTTGAAATAGATATTTGGGTTTTAATTCTTAATATTTAATAAGTTTTTAATACAGTTGGATCCCCTAAATCCATCAGATCTTGTCCAGCTCTAGTCAGTAGATACCTCTTTGCAATTGCACAGAAATTCCATTAACCCCCAAGGCCACTGGCCAAGGACCACACAAGATTCAAGAAATTTGTGCATTTAAAGGAAGTTCACTAGACAATTATGACTGTTTCCATCTATCATACTTCTTTCAAAGCTCATCAAAGTAATTAATTAAGGTATGAGAAGATTGACAACAAGTACCTGGAAATCATTTTCTTCAAAATTCGTGATATTTTCACGCCAGAACGCAGGATTTTTGTGCATAGGAGACCAGTCAAGATGGCCAAGGAGAACTTCTTGCTTGTATTTGTCAAAAGAACTCAACTTCTTGATCTTATCCTTTAGCCCCTCTTCTAGTTGGTTCAGCGCCTCCAGTAGGTCCTGGGAAAAATTCAAAGCCATTAAAGAAGAAACCAGTTAAAAATAAAATAAAAAAGATTATAGAAAGAATTCAATTCACATTCATTTCTTTAATAAACTCTACAAGTAACAAAATTAAGTTTTGCGATAAACTTCATCATAAATGCATCTTAAACAAAGATGCCATAGGGTCAATAGATATTTTTTGAACTAAAATGCAACTCATGCAGAACAATGAAGACATACACTGGTTCAGCTCAAAATTCACAAACATTATGCACATGGGCAGAAATAGACAAAATGGGGCAAGAGATAGCCCAATAGCAAGGCATCAATTTTAATCCTAAGGCAAAGAAGACCAGGCAGCCATGACATAAGTAAATAATCGCCATATTGGTACTGAACACCTACTAGCTTGTACGAAAATTTCACAGAACAATCATCAACTTCACATTTACCAAAAGGCATTCAAAGCCATATAAGAAGAAACCATTTAAAAAGAAGTAAAAGATTATATACATAATTCAATTCACAATCATTTCTTTGATAAACTCTAGAAGTAACAGATGCAAATCTTGTGATAAACTTCATGATGGATACATCTAAAACTAAGAAGAAATAGGATAGAATCTAGATTTTTTTAGAACTAAAAAAGCAACTAGAGCAGTAGAATGAAGACATAAACTGGTTCAGTTCAAAATTCAAAAACATAATGCACATGCACAGCAATAGAGGAAGGGGAGGAAGAGATAGCCCAAGGGAAAACAAAAGGGACCAATTTAATCCTAAGGTAAATAATACCAGGTAGACATGATTTAAGTAAATAAATCACCATGGTTCCAAACATCTACAAGCATGTACAAAAATTTCACAACATAACGAAATTTCACATTTACGGAAAGGTAGTCTTGAAGATGAGAAAGTCAGAGAATAATCAAGTCTTGTGAATAAGTGAGTACCATAATTATATTCTATTTACCACGGAAATTTTTTTTGAAAGTCCCTTAATTAAAAAGTAAATTCCAATCTGAATAAAAAAAATACTGAAAAAGAAATAAAACTTGTGAAGTATTTTCCTCTTAACTGCTATGGTTACAAAAGTAGAACTTCTACAGTACCCAAGAACGCTACAACACTTTGGTACAGCTACACTAACCCCTCTAAAATAACTTTCCACTCCAGCAGAAAGACACTGTACTACATGAAACATAGTACCAAAGATAAGGAGTGGTGTGATTCAACTTATTCTACAGGAAAGTGCTAAAAGAACATTAAAAAAGCACGCAAACACGTGTCCAACCACGTTTGTGACTGGAAACAGTTGTCAGATAGTGTAGCCAATCCCAGCTGTTGGTTAATAATACATTAAGCTAGGATGAATAATCTCTACTTGACTAGGAAATAAACTAAGCAGGAGTAAACTATTAAAGGCTACAATACCAAATTCTTAAATAAGACTAGACCTTGACCTTCAAGTAATTCAGAAAATTTACACCCCTAATTTGCAAGAACATGTAGAAATTACAATTCTGCACAAGCTTACAAAATAATCCATAAGTCTCAAGACTCTAAACCCCAAACATAGAAATCTACCAAGGACCCTTATTTTTTGACCAAAAAGACTTCTTGCTTGATGAAGAATCACTTAATGTAGCTTTGGGTTTCCAAAGCGGAGAGTGTTTCTCCAAGTATAACATAGCTACTCCATCAAGTATCCAGGGAGGCAATGAGGACTAGTATTTCATTATTTCCTTATATTCTGTATTCCATAAAATCTCAAAATAATAATAATAATAAATAAAAAATTAATAATCGAATAGAGAATTGGAGTTAAAACTTTCTACATCTCTTACCTCATCACTCCATGCTTGTGCTTTCAAATTTTGAACAATTTGTGGCAATCCAAGGTCCACCATCTGAGCACCAAAAGCACCTTTGGAAAGCAAGTTTCTAAAGGTCAAGACCACCACTCTGACAACCTAACAGAAACCAAGACAAAGAACTTGATAAAATCAGATGAATCCTAGCATATATTCTTTGTATAGGGATGTCAGCATATTAAGCTGCCAAAAAAAAAAGTCACGAACAAAATCTGTCAAGCAGTAGAGCAAGTGCAGATTGCTCCTCGTGACTAATCAACCAAACAACAGAAAATTCTTAACTGCCAGAAAATGCAAGATGAAAAAAGTGGATAAATATACAAATGCAACATATAGTCATATTTACTGGAAAAATAGATAAGGAATCAACCTCACCTTCTCTTTTGTGGAACTCTTTACAACATCAACAAGTCGCGGCAAGGATCTTGAAGTAGCCAAGTATTCAATTGCAGGTTCATAGTAAGACAATAGCCAGACACATAGACATGTTTCATAAAGAAGCTGTAACAAAGAGAATAACTATCAATAAAATGAAGAGCAACTAGTTTATGGGTTCTAGAATTTAAAGCTTACTTGAAAAGAACCACAAGCTGTACCCAAAGCTCATCGAGCCTGTTAATCAGGCCAATGCTAGTGTAGAAAGATTGCAAAAGGCAACAAAGGTTACCTGAATAGATTGCTGAGTGGACGCAGGACAAATTAATGGAATCAGTAACTTCACGCCATCTCCCCGAACAAACAAAGATCTGACCACAGGTTCCTTAAGTAATGTCGCTAAACAGCTAATTGCAGTTGGAATGGAACGACTAGGATGCGAAGGCTTCTTCAGCTAAATGACATTACACATCATGAGTGAAGAGTGACAATGAGTATCATCTAAACTAAAGCCTACTAAATTATTTTCTAAGACCGGTATGCCAACCTGGGCACAGAGCCATTCAACCAATCCCTTCAGCACATCATCAATGCAAGTAATTTTGCTCTTTGAATTTGAGGCTTCTCCATTTGAAAGAAGGCTTTGAGTTTTTGGCCTAGCACTAAACCAAACAAAAAACTTACAGAGTTACCTTGATGTGTTATGCAGAAATCAATGTGGCTAATTTCTTGAAACTTCATTCTTTAACAGTACAGAATCATCTTGTCAATACCTTACAATCAAAGCAACTATCTTGCAGCTCTTTTCTTGTATGAACCAGTTACCTTTCCAAAGCAATCTGAAAGTGGACCAAATTGCAGTTAGTTTTAGTTTTCCTTATTTTGACCAAGATAAAATGAGTAGTTGTAGTGAAAGTCAAACACAAAGGCTTAGCATCTATAGTTTGATGAACAGCTAGAATAAATCAACCATTACTTTTATGCCTTTAAGTAGTAAAGTTAACCTGAACAATTACACTGAAAGAAACTACATAAATGAATACTTGCCTTAAGAAAGGTTCATAAGGATCATCATTTGCAAGAGACTTATCATGGAATAATCTGGCTCTTTTTGGGTTTGCTGCCAAAAGAAACAAAAAATAAGTTGAATTGCTCAACCAAACATATAATTGCAGGCAGGATGAGAATATAAAGTAGTAAACAATGATACCTGTAAGCATTTCATCAATTAAAGCCAGAACATATTCGACCGTTTCTTCCTTAAATATGTCATGTAAGATGGTAACAAATACCCGAACATAAGCTGGACCATCCTGCCATAGTTTGAATAAAACAGATAAAATGACTTTAGCATTCAAGTCACAACAAATACACAGAGAACAAATTGCGTAAAAGAAAATCAGAGATGATTGAGCAGAAGGATTCGATTACATCATCTAACAATTGTGCCCTGTAACTTTCAGGTCTATTATCATATCGCCTTAGTAGCTGAAGATCCGTCCCGGAAATTAGCTTTGTCACCATGTAAGTCTCCCATGGAATATCCCTCTTCAGAACCTAATTAAATAAACAAATACATTTCATTAATCAAACTCAGAAACCAAATAAGAAATGCGTTATTACTGTAAAAGAAGTGATGAGATCACCAACCTGCTCTGTAGTCAGTTCGGCCTGGTTCATTTCTACTGGAACAAATCAAGAACAAATTAAACCTAAGTCAGGTTTCTCTCCTTTCAACCAAAAAGAAATACAAAAGGAAGTAATAAAAGACAGGAAAAATAGATCCGCAAAACCAAACCAAAAAATCCTTCTACTCGACGAAAATGAAATTCCAATTGCTTAATCAAAATCTAATCTCATGAATTTTTCGAATCCTACACTGGTATTTAGCAATCGGCATCAATTTTACAATCTAAAAAGAAAAGAATGCAGGAAATGCAGCAGAATTTTACTCGTTTAGAAAAAGATCACGAACATTATCAAAATTACAATTGAACTGTGAGAGAGAGGGAGAGAGATCGCGTACCTCAAATTTCTCAGTGTGCTTCCTTTTTTTTTTTTTTCCCCTTTGTTTTTCCTTTTAGAGGGGATAAATGTTCAGTCCGATTGATGATGAATCGAGAGGAGAGACGGAGGTTTGCGAGCGTGAGAAGCTTCGTTTGGTGATTAGAAAGTGAGGATTTCCTACATGTGTATCTATGCTACTCTTTTGCTTCCTTTAAATCTGGAGCATTCACGTGGGTTGCCAACTTGATGAACCCATCCACTTGGCAGCTGTACTGGTTGCTTGGATATTTGTAGTTAGTGATTTTTAATATTTGAGTACCTGTACTAAGTTTTATTTTTTTAAGTACTTTAGATTTGGATCAATGAAGTATTTTTGTAAATTTCTATTACAACTGAACTAATGTGTCACTTATCTCCAAGACAAGCGGACTCGTATGTCGGAATTAACCATGGTTTTGTCATTTTTCAATATCCCAATATTTTTGGTTTTCCATCAAGATATTGAAAAAAATAACAAAAAAATTAAAATGAAAATCGATAAAACTAATTAATTAAGTGAGTTTATATTTTCATCACTCATTAGTTTGGGTTTAATTTTAAGTAACGACATAAAATTAAAAAACCTTAACTAATGATCGACATAAATGTAAACTCACGTGATTAATTAATTAATTAATTAGTTTTATTGGTTTATTGTTTAAGTTTTTTGTTATTTTTAAAAAATGTAACTTCGTGAGCAAGGTTGTTTTGTGTTGTTTCGTACTCACATCTTCACAACTCTCTCAAGTTGCGAAAATGAAAAGAAAAACAAAGCAAAAGAGGAGGGGAAATGGTAGAAGTGGAGGTTGAAAAATGGCAGCAGCACGGTGGAAGAAAATAAGGAAAATGCTTGTTTTAGATTTTGTCATTTTTCTTCCAGTTTGATCCTAACTTGGGTTGAGTTGTTTCATTTTAGTAATTTAGTTTAGGTATCCTTTAATCATGTTTAATAAGAGTTAAATAAAAAAGATAGAATGTTGTTATAAATTTGCTATCTTGCGTACATTTCAATCCATGTTGTTGTTGTTTAGTTTCAATTTAATACAATGAGTTGGTTAGGTTTTAAATTACATTCTTATTTTATGCGGTAGAGACTAATGTAAAAAACAGAATATTGCTTTTATTTCTGCCCCCTTAGGTCTCTAGATTAGTAATTTTGTGACATATCGATAATTTAATCTATGCACTCTTTAATTACGTTTTCATTTTTACATAAAAGTAGTTAAAATGGAAACAAAATGTTTTGCTTTCGGCTTTTATGTCTTTTAGTTTATTTTGGTCATTGCTTTTATTGTTTTATTCTAGGTTAGTAACTTAACTTGATTTATCTTTATTTTATTTATTTATTTTTCATATTATGTATCATAGAATGGGAGTTTGGAGAAAACGGCCGTCTTGAAAGCTGGCCTTTTTAATCAGTTTAATTCCTGGTTTGCTAAGGGGCTTTTCTTTTAGTAACTTTAGTTTTGTTCTTTTTAGTTAGGCATTCATTTTACAACTTACAATAGATATTTTTTTATTATTTTTATTTAACCGGATAGATGTTATAATTTCCTCATTTGTGTGTATTTCCACGTGTGCACGCGCACACACACATATATATATATATATATATAAAAAAAACTCGCATGTGTTCAAATTTTCATACTTAAATTACTCTCGAGAATTATATTTTTGTTTTGGTATTTGTTTGCATAGTATATTAAGGCATTATTTAAATAAGTGATTTCATATGAGGATTGTTTTGAGATTTAATATTAGATCAATTGGTCTTCTATTTTTACAAACAGACGGTGGCCCAATGAAGTTTCATAATTATTTTTAGAATAGCATAACACTAGCATATATCCCACGTGTTGTTGCGAGATGAATTATATATCATTCTTATGCATTCATTAATATAAAATTTAACATTTACAAATCATTATTTGACAATATCATGCGAAAATAATTTAAAAAAAAACTAAAACATATATTTCATAATTTGCTATAGGGTTAGCTAATGAAAAATCTATAAAGTTGAGTAACATAATATTGCTAATTAGATATTTTTTATATAAACATGTATATTTATTAATAGCTGATAATTAAAATTATAATGTGGTAGTTTTTTGAATTTTTGATGATTAATTTTTATCATATATTATTCATCCGTAATTTATTAATGAGACAGATAGACCATTCAAAACAAAAAGATAAAAAAGCTTTGTCAAATCGAGAACTCGACAAAGAAAATAGAGATAAAATTACACATGATAAAAATTAAATGATTAAAACAAAGTAAAGATTATAAAATGATAAAAATAAATAAATAAACTTTCACTAAAAGCATACAAAAAATACTTATAAATAATAAGACTAAAAAATTTCATTATGCATAAGGCATAAACAAAAGTAAACATTATAGAATTTTAATGACTAAATAAAAAAATTAATAACATAAGAATCAAAACATAAAATTTTTCACTAAAAAAAAATTTAGGATAGTTAAAATGTATTTAATTTTAATGTAAAATGATTAATAATTAAATCTAATAAAAGTTTAATGATCAAAATAAATGAAAGATCATAAAACAAAAACCAAAATATAACAAAAAGTTTTATTAAAAGTAAAAAATAGTTCCTTATAAGGAAAAAAATTAATTATCAAAATAAAAAAAATTACAAAACAAAGACTAAAAATTTTTTTTACTAAATTTAATGGCGAAAAGAAAGAAAAAATAACAAAACAGAAATTAGAATAGAAAGAAAATTTCGGTAAAAAAAAACCATTAGAATAGTAAATTTTATTTAGTTTTAGCATAGTAAGGATAAAAATTAAAACGAGAAAATTTTCACAACTAAAATAAAAACATATTAAAAAACATAAAAAAACATAAATGTTTACTAAAAGTTAAAAAAAAATTGATTATAAGGATTAAAATCATATATAATAAAATTTTAATATTTTTTATAGAGATAAAAATCAAAGATCGGAAAAGTTGAATGACCAAAATAAAAAAAAAGAATGAAGGGACCAAAATAAATAACAATTTCCTAAGCCTAAACGGAAGGGAACAAAAAAAGAAAGAAAAAAAAACGGTCGGGCTCGCGTGTCGAGCTAGGCCAGCCCATCGAGCCTACGAGTCGAGCTTGGGTTGCTACCAAAAGAAAAAAAAAAAAAAACAACCAAGGGCTGCAACTTTCGACGATCGAGGTCACCAAAATCTTCATCGGAAAGTCGAGATTCAAGTTTTAGACATCTAGAAATTGAATTCCGGCATCATTTTTTTTTCCCCAAATACCTCTAAATGACCAAAATAAAGCCAATAAACATATCTAAAACCTTAAAAATCATTTTAATGCATAGAAAAAAAATTACACAATCAAATTGGAACTTTGTTTCCTTTTTTGGCTCGATCTACCTCCTTTAATAGTTTAATGGCTTGAAACAACAATGAACAAACTCATCTCTCAAAGATAAACAAAGCTAGTGGATTTTCGTCGACCAAAGCGGCCTAAATAAGCTTGGTCGGTGATTTTCTCTCTCCTCCCGTCTCTCTCTTCCCTCCTCCATTCTCTCTCATCCATGGACTAAAATGGATGAGCAAATGAAGATGTTGATCAAAAGATTAGTTGGCAAAGATCATGAACCAAAGTGTAAAAAACCAATAAATAGTGAATTGTGAGTATGTGAACGAGTGTTTGGAACAAGTAAATCGACGTTTTGTTTTAGTTTATTTAGTTAATTTTGTTCATGGCATCGAGTTTATTATTTACATCTTTCATGTATAGAATATCTTTCCGTGATGTTCCTAGTGTGAGATTCATGAGACAACTTTAATGGAACTCCACTGTAAATTGATAACTCCTAATTTTAAGGTTCGATAGTAATTTAATGAGATTTTCTAATAAACTATGATTAATTTAGCATTTTAAAATCACACCCATTTTGGTAGTTTTTTGTTTTAATTATTGCGTAAGCTTTGTACGTCTATTCAATATCTTTTCTACATATATTCTTAGGAAACAAAGTTAGAAATATAATAAATATGATAACTTTTAAATAACTTTTAAATGATTGATATCTTCTCTTAAATATAGTAATTTCTTTATCCATTTCTTTAGAACCAATGTAAATTAAAATTCTTAATTTCTTTAAAGTATTAGGTGACGGCTTTAGTGTTTAATTCTACCAAGAACAAGAACTTAGAGTCAAGCCATATGCTTATTTTCTAAATTCATTTTCTTTGATTATTTGCCATTTTATTTCCAAGTTATTTACTTTCGATTTTTTATTAATTTATTTTCAAGACATTCAAAATTTAATTTTTTATTTTTTAATTGAATAAGCATATTTTATGGGTAATTGGTTTAAAAGTATCCTGAAGCTTTATTTTTTATTATTTAAAATCTTGAATCATTTTTGGCCCGCAATGAAGTCCTTTTCGGCTAAATTTCCATTTATCTGACAAGTTTGACTGCACGTGAATCACGTGAAGCGTTAAGATGGTGATACATGGCTAGAAGGCATTCCCAAGAACGTGATTTCTTCCCTCCCTTTACGAAAGGGCAAAAAAAAAAAAAAGGAATATAAACAAATAATTGTCATTTCAATTAAAAAAAAAAATCAATTCCATGATAAACAAATATGCTTTTGTTAAAACCAGAGGGTATCAAATCTCTTTTGTTTTAAAAACAAAGTGTTTTTTTTTTTTTAATGACAACTGCTTTGCTTTCAAAATAAGTCAAGCATTGATTTTTGACTTTAAAAAAAAAAGATATAAACGACATTGTTATAAAAGCACAAACATTACTAACATACGCTTTATGTTTTTTTCTGACAATTTGTGCATCGCAAATCTCCATGCTCTTCTTCATAAGTTGGACATTACAAATCATCATGTTACAAATTAAGGAAGGATATAACTGTATATTAGTAATGAATTTTAAAAAACTTAATGAATAATTATTGATATTTATTTTACGAACTCATTTTTATAAAAAAGACATACCAAAAAATGTGAGAAAAATCATATTCAATCCACACAAAAAATGATACAAATATTTTCACATAAGCTCAATATTTATTATTTAATTTTTTATCCTATCTTTCTTTTTCTTTTTTTTCTTTTTTTTTTTGTTTCTAACCTTCTCACATTTAGTAAATATTGATAGTTATTGTTTAAATACTATAAAATTTCTAGTATATCACCAACATCACTCATGCAATATCAACAATGTATTTCTTTTTCTCTTGAACACCTCCTTATATCCTTCATGCATTTCTCTACAATCCATATTTGTTCTCAATCCTTGATTCTTCTCCTAAGATCATGCCTAGATATAATATAATCTTCTTTATTTGTAAACTAGGTATTAAAGTAACCTAAGCATAAAGACTTCAAATTTATCAATTTAATTCGTTGTAAAGGAGGGGGAAAAAAACAGAAAAGAAGAAGAAGAAGAGAGAAATAGGAATCAGAAAGGGCGTAAGTTATAAGTTAGTCCCTCTAGTTTTTCAAAAAAAAAATAGTTACACTAGTTTCAATTATTAATTAATTAGTTCCTATATTTTTAAATTTCCTTATAACTCAATCATTTTTATTCTTTTATTTTATTTTTTTGGTTTAATTAACAAAATAATAAATAATAAATAAAAATATGAAAAGATTATGAGAAAACAAGAAACTTTTTGAAATAAAATAATATTAAATTAATTACAATCAATATTAATTAAAAGGCTAATTAATTAATTTTTGAAACAAAATAAATTATTTATTTTATTTTATAAAACTAGAAAGATCAATCTATAATTCATCCACCAGGAAAGGGGCAGGCAACTGGTCAAAGATAGACACTCGCTGTACAGTCGTTACGTGATGTCTTTTGCTAATGTCCTTCGCCAATTTGGCTGCACCACACAAAAAAAAAAGAAAAAAAGGCATAAATTATAAACTAGTCCCTCATATTTTAAAAAATGAATTAATTAGTTATTTTTTTCTTAAAAATTAATTATTTAGTTCCTAATATTTTATTCTGAACGATAACTTAATTTGTTATCAATTTTTTATTAGATTAGTATTTTTTATTCTTAAATTACACTTCTTCTTTTTCTTTTTGTTTTTAGTTGTGTAAAAAGAAAGATAGTGGATGAAGAAGAGAAAGAAGGTATTAAAAAATAATAATTTGAGAAAAAAACTAACGAAAAATTGATAAAAAATAAATTATTAACAGAATTAAAACATAATAACTGAATTATTACTTTTTTTTAAAAAAAGGAATAACTAATGGGTTTATCAAAACAGAAGGGACTCATTTATAATTTACTCCACAAAAACGTGAGCAGAGAGAGAACTATCCGAGGAAGAAGAAGGTTTGTGTTATGGTTTTTGTGGATGGAGATAAACCCATCTTCTTCTCCATCCTCAACAATCCCACAATATTAGCTCGGTAGTAGAAAGAACCCACAAATATTTTTGGCTTTTAATAAGAATAATGATGTCATCATTCTCCCTTCTCTCTCCTGCAATTGCCTCACCTCCTCACATCATAACCAGACATCCACCACCTCTGTCTTCTCCTATTTTCTCTCTTTATCCCAACCCTTTATCTCTTTATGCCCATAACGCCACAACTACCGATCTTTCTTCTCATTACGGACCAATACAGACCTCTAAACTTGATTCTATGGGGAAAACCTCACGTGGGGCGTTTAGGATTTCTTCTCTTTCAAACTTTGAAGGAGAATTGGGGACTGGAAGCCAAGGAAGTGAAGGGGACGACGACGACGACGATGGTGAAGAAGAAGAAGAAGTAGAGGGCGGAAGTCCCTCTTCTGTTTTGCCTGAGAGATGGGATGTTTTGGGTCTTGGTCAAGCTATGGTGAATCTTTTTTTTTTTTTTTTTTGGTTTCTGCTTCTTGTTTAGCTGCTGAGTAAATGTTGGTTGAAAGACAAATATAGGAATTTTTTTTTAAGGTTATGCTTTGTGCTATTTGTTAAACAAATTTTGTTTCGTTTATCTAACAAACAATTGATGCATGCAAATGGAAGAGAATAGAAAACAAAGTTGCTTGGTTATTATAATATGGATTTTTGGGATGGTTGAAGGTTTATACGGGATGACTCTGTATTTCTATTAGTAAAGCATGCTTTGCAATTTTCTTTCGTTTGATGAATGTGCCGCATTGATAAGAGATGATGGAAGCAACCATCTTACCAGATACTGTAACAAGTTAATTTGTGTATCTTTGCTGTAGTTATGTTTTTTTATTTTAGCTATAATATGCATTGGCCTTGTTTTTGCATTATTTCATGGCAATATGGAGTAATTCGTGACTTCCTAAATGTTTGATTCTTTTGTTGCTACTCTAACTTTACCATATGCTTCTCTGTTTCTCTGTTTTCTGGGTGAGAAATTTATTAATTCTGGCATTTTTCTTATCTTTAGGTGGATTTCTCTGGCATGGTTGATGACGAATTTTTGAAAAGATTAGAATTAGAGAAGGGAACAAGGAAACTTGTGAACCATGAGGAGAGGGGTAGAGTTTTGCGGGCTATGGATGGTTGCAGCTACAAGGCAGCTGCTGGTGGATCTCTTTCAAACAGTCTAGTTGCCCTGGCAAGGCTTGGTTCTAAACCCGTAGGAGGCCCTGCCCTAAATGTAGCCATGGCTGGCAGTGTAGGGAGCGATCCGTTGGGTGGCTTCTACAGGTACAGTCTAATAACTTGCTTTTATTTCTTTGCTCTCCTTGTGTGCATATGAGAGTATGTGGATGAAAGCCACAATTCTTGCTTCTTTTTGTTGGTTACTTCTGTAAAAGTGTGATTAGTTCTTCTTTTTAATTTATCAGTGGAAATGTATGCAATATTATTTCATTGTACGTAATTGTGGAGTGAGCCTTCCAATTGCATTTGGAAATTGGAAGTCCTTGTCAAAGAGGGATTTGAGGGATCAAAATTATCAACAACCAGAATTGGAGTATGGGGAGGAGGAAATTAACTTGATAATTCTTTGACATAGTATTGGGGTTATAGGGAGGTCAGAAATTGGGGTTTTGTTTTTTCATTAATTCCCTCCAGGCATGAACCACTCAGGAGGAGGTTACATTACTCCTGTTCACTCTTCCAGACATCCAAACTAGAGAAGGATAACTGCCCCACTTTTGCTTCTTCTTCCTTTCCCTTCAAAAATATATCCTGCCCTTTCTTGTCTAGCCTCCCTTATTAATGTATAAAGAATGGATCTCGAAGTTGTTAAATTGACCATTTACTGAGGAAGTAAATTTTTTTTCTTAAGAAAAACCATGATTGAGCACCAAACAAATCGACAATGGGTTTCAGAAAAGTTTCCATTGATTACAGTTCCTAATCTTGGGAAGTTGGCATGTACTAGCTATGTGCTTCAATTGATGTCTGTGTTGTCATTTCATCTATGCCAAAAGTTGCATCATGTTAATTTGCTAATCCTGCTTTTTTATATCCATCTGGATAAAGGTTCAACCTTGGAAACTGACCTGTCATAGTCTATGATCAAACTTTGAACTATTTGATACTTGTTTATGGAATTTATAGTGATCTGATGAGATTCAATATTTTCTCCTATGATTTGTTTCATAGATCAAAATTACGCCGGGCAAATGTGAATTTCCTCTCTGCACCTGTCAAAGATGGGACGACAGGAACAGTGATAGTTCTCACAACCCCTGATGCACAGCGAACCATGCTTGCATATCAGGTAATTTCTGTTTTAGAAGGGTAAGATTTGTGATGAATCCTGATTCTTGAGTGCAGTTTATTTTGAAGATTTATAGTTTGTCTTTCCCTAAAATCAACTTATGCTCAGTGCTTACCACATCAATAAATAAATAAATAAGGTTTACAGTTGGTGTTTCTAGTTGTGAAGTTGCAGACTCCTCAGGAAGATTCTTTGCCACAGTAGCATAAGGATTATGCATGGGGTGCTACTGGGGCATGTTGTTTCTTGAATGAAATGCATTTCCTGAAACTATATTAGCTGATCAAGTTTTATCCTTCATTTCTGGTGGATACGCAGTCCATTGCTTCTGTACTAATATATAAATTCTGCTTCAATGTAAGATTTGTATTGCTAGAAAATGAACTACTCATATATGGTAAATACATCTGTTCTTCTTTGTTGACTCGAAAATAGTTACTGAATTAGCTGAAAGTTGAAAGCAGTTACCAAACCTGGATAAGTCTTTGCTCAATTTTGAGAATCTTTGTTTTAGATAAATTTCTTGATTTCAAGAATATGCAAGTCATTCGAATGGTTGCTGTCTTATGTTTATAGAATATTTCCAACTTGAGTTGCACATGGTTATTTTTGTCACTATTCTCTAGGAATGGTTCACTTGATATGAATTAATAACTGCACAAGTCATATAGTTTGTGATTTTGAAATGAAATTAATCATAGGGTTCGAAAGTGGAGGAGATAAAGAAATTTTGTTTTCTGTACTAAACTTTCGAGGTTAAACAACACAAAGATTTAAATTGGATATGATAATATCATCTGTCCATTATTTTTTGTGGTTTGTGCATGATTGCTTTCTGGATTGTTTGTTTTTCCAATTGATGAACCTCATTACGTATTGGAAGTATGATCTACTCTGCCTGCATAATTTATCAACAGTTGTATGTGGTTTTCTGTTGCTCTACAAGGCCAAATAAAATTGCATTAAATCATAGGAGCAGATGCTGGGTTGCTGGATCATTTGGAATATGAGCTGACCCTTAGCATATTGGCATCTTTTAGGGTACATCTTCAACTGTTAACTATGATCCATGCTTGGCCAGCATAATTTCCAAGACGAACATATTGGTAGTTGAAGGCTATCTATTTGAATTTCCCGATACAATTAAAACAATTTCAAAAGCTTGCGAAGAAGCACACAGGAGTGGTGCGCTGGTTGCAATTACAGCATCAGATGTGTCCTGCATCGAAAGACACTACGATGATTTCTGGTAAGATTGTTGCTTGATTTGGTAAAACAAAAATGTATCTTATTTGGTTTATGAATTTTATTCTTTTCTGATTTGATGGCTTATAAACAAGATTACTGAAATAATTTTTCTTGACAAGTAAACATTATAGAAGTACTTTTGAAAATGTTTGTTAGAAAGAAACACCATGGTGTTCACGTTTTATTATCTCCTAACTTTGGAAGTTTCCACCATAATGCTGCATCCTTTAACTTTGTGAGTGGAGTTGCCAGCCAAACCTTGGATAGATAATTCATGGAAAGATTATTAAGGTGGTTTAGTGGCAGTCTGTTTGATGCATAAATTCTTTGGGTTTTGGAAGAAGTTAAAACTACTAAGTTCACTTCTTAAAACCCTCATTCATTTCTTAAAACCCTCAAAGTTTGGAAACCCAATTTTTTTAGAATTGTAAGATAATTACTGGGAAGGCCATTGAAAGCCCTTTCAATATTGTCTAGAACTTTGTCACTTTGAATTCTATTTTCTGCTTCATGTCTGAGGCATAAAAAAGAAAAATCATTGTTGCTTGTCCCTCAATGGTATTGCTTTGTGCAGTTATTTTTACTGCTGAATTTGGCAAACCGTTCTCTTTATTAATTTCATTAGATATAGAGACTTGTTGTTTCATTTAATGGATCTTGGTGATTGTGAGGAGACACCCTCCCTCTCTGAAACTTTATTGTCGTCCAATTGAAGCATTCTTTCCCTCCTTGTGTGGTTCAGGGAAATTGTTGGAAACTGTGCCGATGTTGTGTTTGCAAACAGTGATGAAGCAAGAGCTTTGTGTGATTTTGCACCAAAGGAAAGTTCAATTTCAGCTACAAGGTATCTTAGTCATTTTGTACCCTTTGTCTCTGTCACTGATGGGCCGAGAGGATCCTATATTGGCGTAAAAGGAGAAGCTGTATATATCCCTCCTTCACCATGTGCACCCATTGACACTTGTGGTGCTGGGGATGCATATGCATCTGGTATTTTGTATGGTATCCTACGGGGTGTGTCTGATTTGAAAGGAATGGGTGCATTAGCAGCTAGAGTTGCAGCCACAGTTGTTAAACAACAAGGAACCCGGCTTAAAGTTCAGGATGCTGTTGAGCTAGCTGAGTCATTTGCATTCCATCTTGAGCACTTTGCAATTGGATCAGATATTGGTTCTGATCATATTTCCAGCTTGTGACGTGGTCTGCTGGTAGTTATGATATTTATCAATTCTTTTACTCAACTGTACTCCTTGTTCATAGTCCTGCCCTGTACATTATACTATTGATATGCATCGATTATGCTAAATTTGCCAAGGCATTCGTTTTAAGATTTTTTTTTCCTCTCCGACAACATTCGGATGAGTTACACTGGACTCTGATTATTGAGGATTCAGCACCCAGTCAAACATGGATTCGATTGTGCATGGGAATCTGATACTTCATATGTTATGATGTCTTGCCTAAAGTAGCAGGATTCTACTTTTTTATTCGGCATGGCCACCCCACCAACTTGAGGCTCAGGCCTCAGCATATAATAGGGAATATTATTTGTCAATTTGTCTGATACTTTGTGCGAATGTTTAGACATGTTAAATAAATAGTTTGGTGTCAAATAGCTGCATAGTTCAGTGGTAAAGGGCTAAGGCTGTCTGTTTGCCCGTTTCCTTGTTCAATGACTGGATTTTGAGCATCATCATAATTAGGGTTTGTCAACATCTACAGTGGCAGTACTATGAGCTTCATTCCTGCTATATGGGCAGTGTTTTGATGTCATGGAATCCTTCTAAATGTATGTGATTGTTGTGGGTACAAGCTGTAATATCAAGATTTGGGACAATTTGCCTGCCCACTGACCATTTTTAATAACAACAAATAAATGATTGGTCCTCTTTGGTTCGGAAAATACACCTTGGTAAATCAATAGATTGGTCCTGTATGGTTGGGAAAATACACGAGTAAATTATGAATTAGTCCCCCTCATCTAGAGAAACAAATTAATTAGTCCCCTTCTTTTGAAAAACCAGTCATTTAGTCTTTATGTTCTAATTCCGTCAACTTAGTTTTTTCAATAAAATTAGTGATTTTTATTTTTCAAATTACCCTTAGGTTGATTTTTGGTTAAGAGAGAGAGAAAAAGAGTGGGTAAAAAGAGAAAAATAAAGCACTAAGAGAAGGACAATTTGAGAGGAAAAAAAAAACCACTAATCTAATTAAAAAGAATAATCTATAATTTACTCGAAAATACAATTAACATTGCATGTGAACAGTATCAACAAACAAGAGTGTTGGCCAAACAAACTTTATAGTGTCCAAGAAAAGTTTGTTGATGCACTAGCTAGAGTTTGGTGCAATGGTCCCATGTATTACTACATTAACATAAACAAATTACTACAACCTAACGAATCCTTTATTGCATCAAAATAAAGAATGCCCTACCTTGTGAGTTAGGGGTTCTTTCCATGTTTATTGCTTTTGTTCTTCAAATATATTGTAACTTACAGTAACTTGACTGCATTATGAAACGAAGGCGTTAGGTGGGGAAATGAAAAGGGCTTGTTGACTTCTGTTGATCAAAGGCTTTATTGCATCTTTTGGCGCTTAAATAAATATCTTATTGCATTCCAACGTTGAATCTTGAATGCTTTAGAATATCAGTTTCCGATTTGTTTTCACTGTTTTACAATTGCTTCCATTAATGTTCAAGTGTTGTTTGTCAGGCTTTCGTTCTATCCATCAGGTTGATTTTGTTTCACTTGGATTTCAGCGGATACAAGACCACTTGGTTGACAAATTTTTTAAACTCAATTCAAGTTTTAAGACATTGAGTTTGCCTCCAAGTAATGGTCGACTCTCGATTTGTCTTATTTTATTTTTCTAAATTCCGAAGAGAATTTTCGAGGCAGATCTTCTTCTTAAGATGACTCAAGATGGGTCACCTCAAGGACTTGATAAGCAAACATTTTATTTCTCAAACTTTCGAAGAGAATTTTCGAGACGGGTCTTCCTCTCAGGATGATTCAGAATAGATTACCTTCAATAACTTGACTAACAAACCATTTATTTTTTAAAATTTCAAAAGTAATTTTCGAGACAAGTCTCTCTTTTAAGATCCAATTGGGTTACTTTCAACAGCTTGATCAACAAACATTTTATATTTCAAAAATTCCTAAGGCAATTTCTGCAGGTCTCCCTCTCAAGATGCTCAAGGCAGGTCATCTTCAACAACTTGATCGCCAAAAAGTAATTCACTTTTATAACTTGATCGGCAAGAGGTAGGTCGACCTCCACAATATGACCATCATAGCTGAATAATTTCTTAGGGTGGTTTGCTTCCCAAGATGAACCGTTCTCCTCTTTCTTTTGATATTTTTCATACCCTTCTTTACAACCTTACTTAAAAAAAAATTATTTTTTTAATGACTTTGTATCATAAATATCGTTAAAAAAAGGCATTTGTTATAACTTGTTTTTACTTTAAAAACTTATTTACCAAAAAAATTTCAATAATTTCAAAAAATGTATTTATGATTTTCATAATTTTTACTCATTTAATAAATTTTCAAGGTTTTTAGGTAAACTGATTCTTTTCCTTAATTTTCAAAAAAGTAGTTGAAAAGAAAAAAAGAAATGGTAAGGAAAGAAATTGAAAGAAGAAAGCCGGAAGAAAAAATTCAAGACGAAATTGAACGAAAAAAAGAACCAGGCAAGAAAAGAAAAAAGACAGGGTTAAGGTCGATAGAAAAAAAATGAGGACCGAAAAAGAAGAAAAAAGTTAAGAAAAGAAAAGAAAATTGTTGGTTGGAGATATAATTGAGAAGAATATATGAGAAGAAGGACTAAAATAAACAAACAACATGGAGAAAAGTGGGACAAAAAGGTATCACTTACTCAAACGGCATCGGTTGAGATGCTAGAAATTGGGGGAAAAAAAAACACTGTTGGGCACTATTCATCCCTTTTCTCTTCAATTGTTTAACTAGAAGCATGTCTAGGCTTGTTTTCTTCTGTTTTTTTTTTTTTTTTTTTTTGTTTGACTAATTGTCCAACCCTCTTTTCCCCTCTCTTCCACCCTCCTTCCTCGCAAAATCACGCAAAAAAATACACCATTCTTGTCCTCTACACCCGCACTAGATGTTTAATTACAAAAATGTTCTTGATCCTTCAAACACACTACTCTAAGCCCTTCAAAAGTGCTTATCACATAACCTTCCAAAATAGTGATTCAGTACATGATTTTTGCATGCATGGCTCCTTGCCAGCTCACAAAAACAAATACAAGTTCATGGTTCCTCCTAAAAACTTTGATGGTTAGGATCCAGTTTGAGGAAAGTTTTCCTAAGCTTTTCTAAAAAGCGTATAAGGAGCACCTTAGAAAAGTTTAATTAGAGAGGATTTTGGAGCGTTTGATCAGAAAAATAAAAAAGGCCGAAGGAAGCATAGGAGAATAGAGAAGGTTGATGTGTGACTTGAGAAAGCTGAGAATAGGAAAAGTTTAGGTTATTAGTTTTTGGACAAAAAAAGGGGGAAAAAGTAGTTACGGAGTCTAGTTTTTTAGTTCAGAGCCAAGACTTTGCGGAAACCTGTCTCATTAATTCTCCCACCATTGCTACCATTGATTGCTTATTTTCTTAGCAGGTTTATTCCTCTTTAGGTCTATTCCATTACTATATTAAGTTTAAGCCCAAAATAGTTTGGTTAAATTGGCTTTTACTGGTTTTATTAGAAAGTAATATAAAATAATTTTTTAAACTTTATCTAATGGTTTAAACTTTTGAATTGAAATGATTTTTTAATATGATATTAAAAGTTTAAACTTTTTAATAATAAAAAAATCAAAAATTCGAATCTCAATATTTTTATTTATTTTTTCTAATCAATAATTAAGTATAAAATATTATGGATCTATGCAAGTTTTATGCTAAAAAGTCTTATGTTAAAATGTAATATAAAATTATTTTTGAAGTCTCATTGTTTTTTGACAAGATTATTATAAGATAATTTTAGCTTTTGCTTTTTTTTTTTTTTCCTCTCTCTTTGCGGCTGGCTTGGCCTCTTTTTCAGCTGGCCATTGGTTTCAAATTTTGGCCGAAATCTACCCATTCCTCTCCCTCTTCTGACTGATTATATGATGAGGTTCAAATAACAGGTTGTTCGGAGCTCAAAAGTGAGTTGATAGAAGTTGAAACATGGAGGAAAAGAAGGGTGAAAACATGGCCTTTCTTACAATTTGTCTTGTTAAGTTTACTCCTTGATTTTATAGCTTTATTTTATTTAGTAGTCTAACATAAGATATTTTTAATTGTGCCCCTAATTTCTGTGTAATAAGGTTTTATTTAAAAGATAAATATAGGGTGTACGTAGTTTTAAGTTGTTTTTTTTAGTAATTTTGGTCACTTTTTTTGTTGTTCTGTTTTAGCTTAGTGACTTAGCTTGATTTACCTTTAATTTAGTCCCTATTTCACATAATAAAAGGAAAATTTTGGGAGAAACAGAATGTTTTTTGGTTGTAATTTATCACATGCGAGTCAGTTTAGTCCTTGGCCTTTTAGCTTAGTTGCTTTTTGCTAATTTAGTTTAGCCTTGTTACAATTAGATGCTTAATGGTTCTCATTTATTTAGCGTGAATAATTTTTTTCCATTTGCATATTGCTATATACATAATTTACATGTGCCGAACTTTATACACCTAAATTACTTTTTAGATAGTTTATATTTTTATTTTTGTCCTTGTATTGTAATTATTTGCATACCATACTCTTGTATCATTTAAATATACATGTGATATCATGTGAGAAGTTCATCTGTATCTATATTAGGTCAATGAATCTTTCTTATTTTAGTAACCGACGGTGGCCTAATAAGCATTTACAATCAATTGTAGCTGATTTTGCATGTTATATATATCGTCAAGTTTTTAATTATTGCATTTTGTACCATGCTTGTATTAGTTTGCATTTCAAACTCCGCATTCTCATTTGACATATTTTTTACATATATTATTATAATAAAAATTAATTAGATCCAACGTTAAATTAATGAGATTTTTAGTTTAACGTCTGATGATAATTTAATAAAATTCCATAAATAATTCAATACATTTTTTTTTAACTCGTCAAGATTGCAATTTTCAGAATCATTTTGTAATAATTAGTTTGTTTCTCTTAATTGGCAAGATTGTTGAAAATCGTTAGTTGGGTCAAATGACGCTACAGCTCCAAAAGCTCAATTTCAGGCTTAATCTAAAAAGTAAACGAAAACAAGCTTCCAAATTCATTTTTCAACAACCAGTTTCGGATTCCAAATTAAAGTCCGAATAAATCATGTAAAGAATTAATTCTCTAAATTAATTCTAAATTCACATGTAACTTAAAAATAAACTTACAATTAAACTTAAAAAATAATTGGACAAATAAGATTTATAGAAAAATAGACTTAAAAATATACACAAATAAAGTAATTTTTTTTAAAATGATATTTTTGAATGATTTTTTTTAAAAAAAAACATAATCAACTCTAAGAACCAATGCAATTTCAGAGTTATTAGTTTCTTTAAACTACTAATTAAAATATAGACTCTATTTTTAATTTTTTTTAATCTGAAAGGCTCATATGTTTAATAACCACACAACCACAATAGTCAAAAGACAACAAAATGCGAGACAGGCAATATAACACTATATGTATATTTACACTCCCCATTCATTATCTTTTTTCACATAACAGTTCCATTATTCTTTCTCAACAAACTAACATTTACATATTGGAATTGACAACTAGTATTAAAAAACCTACTTTTGCACCGTCTTAACATCCCTACGTACCTTCCTTTGCTTTTCACGCCTTTTTGTTCCTTTCAGTGTCTCTCCATATCACTTATTTCTTCCTTTCTAGTATATAAATATATACAAGACTGAGTGCCCAACACCGGCCTCTTGGCACAAAGGCTCAGATGTTAGCAACTGCATGTGTAACATGAAGAGAGAGTGATGATTTCGATCCCAATAAGATAGTCATAACTTTAGGTAGTTTGGCAAAGTGAAGCACTACTATATTGATATATTTGTTGTAGCCTTCACTAGTATTCTATGATAAATCCTCCCATTGGAGATCTGTGTGGAACTCCTTTCCTTCTCTTGGCACTCCTATAATTCAAAGCAGTTGGTGGTGGGGTTGAGGGTGTAAAGCTTTGTACTTTGCTTTTACCACTTCCGTTGCTAATGCCATTCATTGATTCTTCAGTGTCTGAACCACCCGTCTCCTTGTACCTTTTCTTCTTCTCAAAATTCTTTGACGTCCCCACAATCTGAAATATATTTAAATAAAGAATATCATTTAGTTCGATCTTTTTCCCAAAAATAAAGAATTTGATAGCAAGAGGGTTGAAAGAAACAATATACTACGTACCTTGCAACCAAGAGAGCAGAAACTGAATGAATCGAGGAGGCTACGCTCACAGGCATGGCAATTGTTGGTAACACCTTTACCAGGCCTAGGCTGAGGCCTCTCATTCAAGAACACAATTTTTGCACTGTTGATAATGTAGGTTTGGACCCCTGTTATGTCCAAGTATTTCTGAATTTCAATTACCCTGATCACATCGTGGTAAGATGACCTCCTTATCTATAAGAAAACAACACCAGAGAATGCCATCCATGAGTAATTTGATTAAAATATAATACAGAAATCATGTGCTAGTAGCCCTTTTCTCATACCAATAGGTTTCTCGCTTGTCCGGTGGGTAGTAAACTTTTTGTATTTACAATAGATTACGGATTCATTTTTTAAAAAATATTTAAACTTAAAAAAAAAGCTCAGAGAAGGCTAGAGCAGCCCTCTTCTTTGTAGTGGTGAATAATTCAATCCGTAGTAATACGATTCCTTCTCCTACCCTACTAACTACTACCGGTAAACTCTACGACCCAAGGTTGTGGGGTTTTGTGTAAAAAAAAAAAAAAAACATTTATTGAGGATTGTAGCACCAAATTAAAGATCATGCACATGTCATTGGTAAAACCAATGCAAAAATCATGTGATTTCGGGCATATGATGAGATGAGAGACCTAAAAGTGTGTTTGGGCAGAAAGAGCAATGCCTCATGATTACTGTAGAATATATATGTTACTTCTACTGAACGGTGAATAAAATATTTTGCAAAACTTGCACATAAGTACCTGAATAGCTCTATGGTCCTTGTGGAGTGAGAGACAAACAGAACAAAGGGCACCATTCATGCAATCCAAGCAATACATGTTGCATTCACTCTTGTGAGTAATATCAGCATGGAGCTTGCATTGAACAAAGAAGCTTGTTTGAAGAAGTGGTTGCAGCCATGGTGGCCACTTGATATCTTCTTTATGATCATCATCAGGACCACCACCTCCCTATAATACTCGAACAAAATTAACATATATATGTGTGTGATTTCAATATCATTGCAATCAAGAAATAAATTAAACACAAAACAAAGACAACCAACAAATATATATAATAATTGTAATTACCATGATTCTTCTGATGTTGGGCCTGATTTCTCTGGCAGTGGCTTCCTGGTCATTGGTGATCATCTGTGGACAGTTTTGGAGAAAGAAAAGAGAGCTTTTTCTTGCAGAAAAGGGGGAGAGAGAGGGAAAGAGGAGGTGGGGTTGTAGCTTGTAGTCGTAGGTGGTGGATGGGGTGTTGGAGGTGCTTATCTTGGGCTTAAAAGTCTACCTCCGAACCTGTGTGTCCGAACCTAAACCAAAAATTAGATGCGTATGGTCCAAGGAAATCACCATTAATTCTTCTCCATTTCTTTTTTTTTTTTTTCCTTTTTATCTTTCCATATATATATATATATATTTTGTTAGATTTTGTAATTTCAAAATTAAAATTTTTGCATGACTAAATGAGGCAAACTTCTTCTAACTCTAGCTCGTTTGAAAAATAAATTCTTTAACTCTAATTTCAGATTCGATCTCTCTAAATTTTATTTTTTATATATATAATTTATCATATAATTTTCAGCTATCATTCATTTCTTTTTATTTTAAACTAAAATTTTATACATATATTGTTGAAAAAAATTTACTTTAATTTAAAAAAAAATCATAAAATTTTTAAAAATAGAAGATAATTCGAAAAGGTTTCAAAATATTTTAGAAAGCTTTAGATAAATCTATTGAAAGATTTATACCATGAATTTATTTATATGATGATTATTTTTTATAAATAAAAAATAAAAAATTGACTAAATTTAAAAAAAAAGTTCAAGAATATCAAATTTAGAATTAGAAATTTAATGATTGATTTTAAAATATAGTAAACTTAATAAGAGTTTTGACTATTTAACTTTTTGTAATTTTGCTTGTACAGTTTGGGTTTTGGCAATACTTGACCAACGTGTTTTCTTACTTTTAACACATGAAAGGTGGCGGTCTTTTCCCATGAAAAGTGGGTGATTCAGCAAAATTAGAAAACGGGATAAAATAGAAAATAATTCGGAATTGTTTCAAATTTTTTAGAAAGTTCCATATAAAGTTTATGGAAAATTTTCTGTTATAAAATTATTTATGTGATTGTATTTTATAAAAAAAATTAAATTCAAGAAGATCAAATTTAAAATTTAATGACTGATTTTAAAATATACTAAATTTCATAAGAGTTTTGACTATTTAACTTTTTATATTTTTGGTTGGACATTTTGGGTTTTGGTAATACTTCAAGGACGTGTTTTCTTGTCTTTTAACACATGGAAGGTGGTGGTCTTTCCACATGAAGTGGGTGATTCAGCAAAAGCAGAAAGATGCTTAAAAAAAATGGAATGCAATGTGTTGGACGTTTACGTTTGAAGGGCGATTTGTATTTTGCGTAGTGCTGAGGTTGGGACTTTGGTATGGCCACCAAACCCAAAGTAAAAAAATAAAGGAAGAAAGAAAGAAATGTTTAATAGTACCTGACAAAAATGAGAATTTAGGGATGCTGTTAAGGGTACAAAAAATAAAATAAATTTGTTGGATTCCTTTGCTAGCTAGCTAGCTATCCAAGTTTGAATTGTACATTTATATTGTTCCAATTCTTTTCCAAGTTCACGGTAGAACCTGCTTTGCCATTGAAAAATGAAAATGAAAGCTAGTAGGAAGGAATCTCTTTTCCTTAATTTCTATATTATTATTATCACTATTTTTTTATGGGAGGTAGGAGAATTCTTTAATTTATATAGAAATACATTAAGGATGCAATGCTATCTTTTCATTGTATAAATGTTATTTCGTATGTCAGCATCTCAAAGAATTTGTTCCCTTGATTGATGCCTTTATGCTTTTAAAAAAAAGCTTAAATAAATAGCAAATACAATACATCATATTAGTTAATTAGTCTCTTAAATCAGATTAATAGTTAAGATTTTGTTAGGCAGAGATTTTAAATGAAATCTAAATATTTTACCAATAAAAAAAATTAATTTTTAGAACTCTCTTTCTTTCTCTGCAAAATAATGCAATAAAAGGAATAGTAATATGGGACAGAAAAATCCTTTCTAATAGAATGTATTTTAGATTGAATGACATTTTTTCTTCATCTTCTCTCTCTTTTTTTTTTTGTTTTTTTTTGAAAAAATCATGATATGATGATAAGTTTTAAGAAAATTGATGGTTTTATTATTCAAAATTTTAGACTCAATCATGTTTTATCAAGTGAGAAACTTAAATTAAGAAATTCACAAATCAATAATTAATAGGAAAACTGATGGTGGTTGTGTTATTCAAACTTTAAAACTCAATCATGTTTTATTAAAAGAAAACATAAATTAAGAAATCCACACATCAACAACAATTTTTTTTTTCTGTTCTTCTTCTTCTTCATATTACAATTCTTGATTTTGTCACGTTAATACTATTAATTCTTGGTTTTGTTGTGAGGTTTGTATTTGACTATGTTACCACTCGTGGTTCTTTTTACATTCCGTTTTCAATCCAAGAAAAAAGGGGTGGCAGTTTTTAATTCCTCAAATCTGAACGTGTGTATTTATTTCTAATGTTAGCTTTTGAACCTTGTAATTTTCAAAGCTCTTTAGAATATTAATTATAAATACCCATTTAATTTTGGTATTTCTTGACCTAAACTCCTTTCGCATCATGTTTCTTTCTTATTTCTTAGGTCAGACAAATTATTAGATTTTAGAACAGAAGGGCAGAGCATGTTAAAAAGTCACGGGCGAATGCTCTCACTGTACCTAGAACCAACCCGTCCTTAACGGCAGACATATAGCTGAGTTATTGGAAACTGACGCCGCACTGTGTGATGTCACCCCAACTTCAAATCCTCCTCAAAAATCATACTCTGCTTTGCTGCCGCATTCAGATGGTGACTAATTAATTTTGTTGAAGAATTTTTTTTTTTTATGTTTTAATTTTGTCAATAGCTTAATTATTTTATTTGTTTTTAGTTAGATTGGTGATTTTTGTTTACAAATTATTATTTTTTTATTTGATAAAAGAGCAAAAAAATAGGTGAAAAAGATAAATAAAACATCAAAATCAAGATAATTTAAAAAAACACAAATTCAACAAAAAAAATGATAAAATAACCAAGTTATTGATGAAATTAGAAAGTAAGGGACTAAATAATTAATTTGTTTTTCTAAATAAGAGAAACTAATTTATAATTTACTCCAAAATTACAGCATAATATTAATATTATTCAGGCCACAAAAACAAAGAAATGTGATTGAGAAAAATCAAGGTCTAACAATTAAAATAAGCAATTACAACTTTTATTCAATTTGGTGGAAGACAACAAATGGTTGTGTCCTAGTCACTTAGCTATTTGCTTTTTACGAAGACAAAATGTACTTGCCAAGAAATTAAACATATAACGAATTGACATGCTAATAATATACTATTACAGCTGAAGAACAATGAAAAAAAAGAAAAGAAAAGAAAGAAAGCCATGTTTCATGACGAGAAAGAGCTCGGTATGGCTTGGAAACAGAATATCTCTTTGCTAATGCTCTAGAGCATGCCTTAAGAGCGAAAGAGCTGCTTCATGCCACTTGTATTGTTTTTTTTTTTCCTTTTTTTTTCTAAATGTAATTGTATTATTAGGTTTAACTTATTTTAATGTTAACTCTGAAGAATTTGTAGGGCTTTTTCTTGATTTTTTGAGCTCAAATTTTGAGATTAGTATTTAAAAAATTTATTAAATCTATTTGAATGTAACATATCGTCGTAAGAAAGTATCTTTAAAATTGTTTTAAAAGAAATTTATTTTCTAGTGATGTATTAAATGACTTGAAGATACTCTTATCATTGCCAATGAAAAAAATATTATTTTTACGTTAATTAAAAAAACAAGAAGAATAATTGTGGAGAAGTAGGACTTTCTTCAACTTTTTTATTTTTAATTTTAGTTTCAGTAAAATCATAAAATATGCAGATTTATTTTCAAATTCGAAAATTCAAGATTTTCTTTGAATTTTTCTCTGTGAACAGTTTGGTAGCATTGGGCTGTAGTGTTAGAAGATGGGGTTTGATTATGTACTTACAGATTTTGATCCACAAGATACATAAATGTACTATCGCATTGATTTTAAATTCGTTGTTTATTCATATTTCTTTATTTGACAATAAAAATATATATCGAAATCAGTTTACATGTGAATAAAAGCTAAATTATTTTCCAAATGATTTTAAAAATGCACCAATAGATAAAGTCAATATTCTGAAAAATAAATAATATGGATATGGAATGAATGAATATTGATCGTGTACCTATCGTATACCAAAGTACCTCATTGAAGCTTGTCAAGCCTTATTGAAAAATGAAAAGTAAAATATGAAGGCCACTTTTATATATCAAAGTAATAGTAATTGAAATTAATTACTTATTAATTTTTTTATTTATAAATAAAATATTTTATATTTCTTATAATTTATGTCGTATATTGATGGTTACAAATTTATTTTACTATTTATTTATTTATTTGTGTTTATGAGGAATATATTGATTTATTTATTTTGTATTGATTTATTTGATTATTTATTTTATGTTAATTTTATAAATGATAATATTAATCTAATAGAAAACTCTAGAAGAGCGACTATATTATTATCCAAATAGATAGATTTTGAAAGTTCTAGAGGAGCGATTATATCATGACTTGAAGAGATAAATTTTTAAAGCTCTAGAAGAGTGAATAAATTATTACTTGAAGAGAAAATGTTTAAAGACTCTAGAAGAGTCGATATATTATTATTTGAAGAGACTAATTTAAAAGCTACAAAAGAGCAAATATGTTATTATCCGAAATGATAAATTTATTATGAATGATGTATTATTCTCTTCAAAGTCTCATAGAAATTTGTTGAGTTTTAACGATATTCATCTAAATTGATATCATATCAAGATAGCAAATGTGAATACTTATATATTATAATCATTATATCGGGTAGAAAATATCTATAAAAAAATTTATTCGTTTTCTCTTCTAGTTTTTATTACAAACATTGAAATGATTGAAATAAATATTGTAGTAAACCGAAGTTTACTAATTTAAATACTTTTACTATGACATGACCGGTTGTGTTAT